AAGGAGAACACAGCGGCATTTACGATTACGTCCATTAAGGGGAGATTTGGTTGGCTGACTGCCTCGAGAGGCTTTCAGCATCAAAAAAAAAGCAGTTTTGTGTAGTTTGCGTTGGTTGCTTCATGGATATGACACCCCCCTAAAAAAGAGTCTTTCACATTTGGAGATTAGCGGCCTCAACAAGATGATGGCAACCCTCCTTTTTCCATAGATCGATAATGATATCTGCCTCAGTGGATAGAGGCGTGGAGGAGGTTTATGAATACAGAGTCTTTTGACCAAGTCACGTCCTGAAGCTTTGCACTGCGAAATATGTGAGATTCCGGCAGCCTCGGTGGGACATGTGGTCGTGAAGTATGACGGCAGTCAACTGGCAATGACGGCTGAGCAGCTCTAACGCTTCTTGACGTATTGCTGCCATGTTGACAGGTCCTCAATATGGAATCCCACCATTGCCGCTGGAGGCTTTTGTTCTAGCAGCACCAGCAACGTATGAAGGAGAGGCCGAATGAGAGTGATATACGCCCGTGGTTATTGAGCCGACTGTTGGTTATTGAGAAATTCTTCCATTTCTTTGTAAGACCTCCATCTCTCTTCAACCAGCGGGATCATCTTCTGAGTGTTCTGGTTGGAATATGCGCCGCGTTGGGAGTGGAGAGAAGGGAGGTTCGTCATGTGAGTAGAGTCGGCTTATGTCCTCTTCGTTGTGATAGAAAACCCATTTACTACTGGATCGACAGTTTCTGCGTGAAGGCAAAATGCCTCACTCCCGTTATCTCAGGAGAACCATTCCTGCTGTATCCCATACGAAGAATCAAACCTTTAAGAGCTTCACGGCTTTGACGTCTACGTATTTTCACTCGTTTCCTTGAGTCGAGATGGAGTGGTTCAAGACGGAGCGAACGCATCTCCTGAAGTCACAGATTACTCACTCGATGTAATACTGGAGACACATCAAGACCAATGAACATCTGGCTGCCACAACATTCATTTAACTCATCTATTACCCCCCTCAAGGGAGATTAATCCTATACTTCAAGTCATCCGGGCTCACGCTCGTAGGATCCTCCACCTGCTTGATCCACACGACAGACTTATCCTCATACACAACCTCGACATCAAACATGTGCTGCGACTCCCGCTCGCCGACCTGCTTGACAATAGTCTGGTTCGCCTCCTTGTAGCTCTCCAGCATGCTCAGCCACGTCTGCGTGTCCCACAGCCCGTCGCGGCGCGGGTACTCCCGGAACAGCCTCATCGCGTCGGCCCGCACCGTCTCGTCCATGCAGAGCATCGTCGCCGCGCCAAGGGGCCACGTCGGGCTGTTGCTGTCCATTGTGAACATCTCGCCCGAGGCGCTGAGTAGGCGCTGCTGGAGCTCGAGGAATTCCTTGCTCAGGTCGACGTAGAGCCGGAAGCTGGGCGTCATGGCCGCGAGCTCGTCCGTGTCGCAGTAGTTTGCCGTCCGGATCGGGATCGAGAGGTAGGTGGAGTGGATGCGTAGGCCCAGGACCTTGAGGTACTCTCTCGTATCGCACTTTGCTTCTTCTCCTTCTTCTTTCGCCTGATTCTCCCTCTTCTCCTGCGCTGCTTCGAGGAGGGGCGAGAAGCGCGCGCGCCAGGCTTGGACGTAGCGATCGTGCGCTTTCACTTGCTCCGGGTTGATGGGCAAGCTGACGTTGGGCGGGAAGGACGGCGCTTTATTGCCCGTGCCCTCGACGCGGAAGCCGATGATGAGGGGCGCGTGGTGGATTACGTGGTGCTGGGTGACCTCCCACCAGCGGTGCGCCTCGTCGAGCGAGTCGAAGGTGTCGGGCATCTCGTCGACGGCGTAGCGCGAGGTACCTTGGCCGCGACAGCACCAGGGCACCTGCTTCTCCGTCTCCTTTGGGTGGTCGCCGTTGTGGCTCCAGGACTGCAGCGTCAGGCGCTGGAAGTTTGTGGCGATGGCGTCGACTAAGGGATCACGACGGGATGCCTCCTTCGTCGTCTTCATCTTTTTTGAGCGGCGCTTCTCGTACTGGTCGAGGATGTTGTACCCGTGGTTGAGGTGCGTTAGCGCGGACCTCCTGTCGCCGTGGAGGGCCTCGAACATGACGAAGAGGAGGCACGTCATGAGGACGCTGGGGAAGGTCTCCTCCGTGGGTGGAGATTTGACGGTCAGCTGCAGCGCGCGGTTGTAGTACTCGAGCGCGTCGGCGAAGTATGGGCCTTTACCCGTGAGACGCTCCTCTCGGGTGCCGCTGCCGAGTGCGGCGGCGCCGATGGCGAAGGCGGCGTTGCGGACGGCCAGGTCGGAGCGGGCTATCTGCGGGATGGTCTCGGTGATGAGCTGGGAGGGGAAGACGAGGGTGTCTGCGGCGAAGGAGAGCCATTGGTCAAAGTGGTCCTTTTGGAGCTGCGTCGTGAAGACGAGGCTCTGGTAGCTCGGCTCGACGGAGAAGGGGGAGGAGGAGGTGGAGCTGCCGTTGGGGCTGGTGGTTGCGATGAGCTGTTTTGAGGCTGCGCCGGGAGAGGAGGAAGCGTTTGGCGATTTGGGTTTGTACCCCTCACATTCCACCCGTCGCTTGAGACAGTTTTGACATGACGGCTTTGTCTCGTCACATTTTATCCTGCGCCGTCTGGGCGAGATTGTGTCAGTACGATGATAGGAGATGAGAATCCGATTCGATGTGCGTGAGTTGACTTACTTGCATGTGACGCATCCCGTCCGGACTTTGGGCTTACTAGCCCTGGTGGTAGGCCCGGCGTTGTGAGGCCAGTTCTCGAGCGCAAAGGTGAGAATCTGGGGACCGGGAGAGGGCATCAGGGCCGGAGTTTGGTTTGGGCCTTTGTTGTAAGTAAGAGGCTGAGAAAGTGAGAAGACAAAAGTGCCTTCAGGGAAGGGATTATTGGGTTTTCCGGGTACTCGGGTCTCGGAGACTGTGTGTTTCCCGCTATAATGTTTTTGTACAGATGTGAGGTCGCCGAATTGTAGTCTCTCGCATTTCTAGAACCGGAACACTTGGCGGGCAGCAGTAGCGGTTATTACACAAGATTTGATGCTGCTGTACTTCTTCTTTCTCTTTCTTTGTTGCAACTTTGTAAGCGCTCAAAAGAAACGAAGGAACGATGTATTATTGCTGCCTAAAAACGCTTTTACATCAATCCGTAGTAACCCTGGTCTATCTCTTAAAAGGAATGGGCAGAAAAAAAAAGAAGAAGAGAAGAAGAAGGTAGGATGAATCCTTCTGCAAGTCAACAAGTTGAGAGTTGGTCTTGTCAGGCAAGTTGACAGAATGGGAACTTGTCAGGAAGGGGGGGTTCGTGGAGGATAAAACGTGGGGCGTTATCTCCGAGCTATGAAGTCAAAAACAATGTGAGGAGAATTTCGACCAGAAGGAAATCGAGGAATTGGGAACATCGGGAAATGCGCACCGCCACCCGTTAGCACGAGTTGGCGGCATGGCACGCATGGGTGCCAGGAGTTCAGACCCCTTGGCTGGGTGCAACATGGGGGGGTTGTTTGGTTGTCAAAGTCAATCAAAAGCCGCCCTGGGTCCGGGGGGTTGAGCCAGGCAGCAGTGAATCGTGAATCGATGACGGCTAGATCACGGAATCATAATCATTACATAACATCGGTCAACGACATCGATGAGTTCACAACTTTCTAAGCGCTGGCTGGACAATTGTAGAAACTATCCTATCGAAAGCCTCGAAGCCTTTTGGGGGCCGTGGCTGTGTCGCACATGGTTCCTGACTGCGCCGCCGTTGAAAGACGTGGTCTGGCAAAAGTCTAGAACTACCAGCTAAGGTAAAGTCGGCAAACGTTGATCGGATAACTACGCCGCCCCGCGTGGGTGTCAGGTCGCTGGGTGTCTGTGTGACACGTTCAACGTGCAAGTTGCCGCGCGCGGAGGGGGGAAGAAGATGGAGGGGGAGGGGCAGCCCCCCCGGCCGTCCGCGATCCCAGGCTGTCCCCAGCCAACTCCATAACGTCGCCGACTCGGTGACCAGAAACCCTCGTCGGTAGGTTTAAATGGACAGCTCCGGCTCCGAAGTGTGGACGAGGAACGGAAGCTAACAGCCCTGTGGGATTTCCAACCGTTACGGATACAGGGCTGTGGGCTGGTCCTTGGTCGATGGTGTGCTTCCTCATTGGAGGGGAGTGGGTATGCGGTCATCTTAAACCACCCGAAGGATTCTGAACCTTTTTTCTCCTCTTCATGAGAAACCTATCACAACCGCAAGGTTTAAGGCTGAACAGAAGGGCTTGAACCTGATTCCATGCCCCTTGCCCCGAGTAATATGCCCCTTTTGAGACAGTTGGGTAATCAACGGCCTGGCTGTTCTTCGTGCAGAACTAACTTGGAATGGGTTGGGCTTGTTCGAATGTCAGTTGATCATTGGGCTCCTCCCGAAACTTAGTATCATTCGATGTTGAACAGCCCGTGCCCTCGACTCTTGATACCATTGAGCCCCATTTCATGCTGATTCTTCGAACTAGCTTTGCGATAAGGATCTTGATGATTGCCGTCATTTCCATCTTTGAGTGGTAGAAAGTTGGGGAGAAGCCTGGAGTCTGCGGTAATAGGTTTTTGCACCAATGAACTGGTGTGCACCGTGGATAGGGGCCACGTCTGAAAATTTCTCACAATCCTTGAGCGTCGTTGGTCTTAAATGATGTGGACTTTTCAAGATAAGAATGTCTAGTTTTCCAGGCAGATAAAGTCGAAGAATCTTATCCTAGACCAAAGCTGTCCTGGATACACAGATCGGTACATTAAAGGAGGCATGGGTATGCGGGGTACGAAGCGTGACGGGACCTATCGAGTGAAGGGGAATATGTGTTTTTCCGACAATGGGAGAGCCTCCAGTTTATCGCCAGTCGGGCACTGATCAGAAGCAAAGAACTCGTGGGAGATTTAGGCATCGCATCAGTTGTCGACGGAAGAGTGACTTCGTACTGCGAATGCTGCCAAGTCCAGTTATCTTCTCAGTCATACTATTGAGTGCCCAACATGCAACGACAACGAGACAATGAGGCCACGGACCTGCACAATGATCTTGTTCGAAAGTACAAGAAGCATGGCGCTATCATCAATGAAATCTGGAGAGATTTTGGTGTAGGCCAGCGTGCGAAGTGTATGAAGGCCGGAGCAATGGAGGGTGTCTTGCTCAGACACTCGGGGGACACTACCCTGGGCGATAACTACAAGATCTTTCCCGAATGGAATTTGCGCAACTTGACTGAACGGCCCGAAAATTTTCTGAGCATGCTAGAGCACCGCATCGAGAAAACGCCTATGGAGCAGTACTGTTACGGGCTTAACGGTGGTAAGGGTGATGCTGATATCATTCAGGAGAGCATGCGGACGCAAGGTCTACGTCCGCCTGCATCTGAAAAGGACTGGTACATGCTGTTTTCCGACGGGTAATGGTACGATTGCAGTGTTTATCTGACCGAAAAAGACAAGAAATCGTTGGGCGGGCTTGTCCCGGCCATCAGAGCGGGACTTGTGCCACCAAGTGATATCGGCCAGCTGATCTTAAAACGTCAAGTCACCTTGCTGCGGTCACTCAACATCCTTATTGACGATATCTTGGATCAGGGCTCGAAGACGCGGAGTAACGCCCAGCGCCCTAAGAAGCCAGAGGAGATAACCACTGCGGCATTCTCAAAATTGAGCATCTCACAATCCCCCGCCAAGCTTTCTCTAGCCGACCTCGTCAACGCTGCCTGCGATCAGGCGGCTTTGTTCAAGGAACGCATAGAGCTATGCTCAGAACCGGCTGTTCTTGCACACGACGTCAGTTCCTGGTTCTGCAGCCGGCCAGAGATCCTCCCAGACGAGAAAGGACGTCGTTTGCCGGTGGTTTCCGACAAGTATGTCAGTGCCAGCGTCTTCGACGCTGTCCACAACGCCGTCAAGGCGGCTGTCCTAGGGAATTACATGCATCAGCTCCTCGAGCGTTTCGAAAGCTTGAACCAAGAAGACAAAGCCCACCGGACTATCCTGCTACAGGAGATAGCCAACGCCGCCCAGCTCGCTTACGTCTCCGCCCAGGCCTTATTCAAGCGGCATATTCAGTCGCATTCGGGCAGCAAGTGGTACAAGCGGATGTCTAATGTGTATGACAGCGTTGGCAACGCGCGTGTGATGCTCAAAGGCAATCCAGGCGACTTGACGCGAAGCGATCCTCAACTTCACTACATGCTCCGGCTCTGCCCCCCTGATACCACTGCAGCCAAGGCCGTCGATTGGCTAAAAAAGTTGGGCGATCTTCATCAGGCTCATCCCGAAGAGCAGGAGAAACTGGTCGAGAGTGAGTTCGAGTCTCTTTGTGACCTGGCCACCACAGTCACCTTCATCCAAGATGTGACCAGTACAATCTCAACGCCAGCTCCATCCCGCAAAAAGGGGCAATTGTTCGTCTCCAGGTCCCAAGAGCTGGAGAAAGAATTGAACGAGCTCAAGACCGGCGTTGATCTGAGGGACTTTGCCGTCCCTATCGAGGACCTTCTAGAGCCGGGAATGGCCGCCGAAGCTCTAGAGAACCTTAACCAGTTTATGATTGACAATGCCGGTGCCAAGCTTGGTGTGCTTTACGAAGATCTTGTTTTCGAATGCTTCTCCGACCTTGAGAATCAGTATGAACAGTACAAGGTCAAGATCGGCCAAGGCCAAAAGGAGTGGACGCCACTTCCGGTGCCTGCTCCCGAGCCGCGAGAAACTTTGGTAGAGCAGCGGAGGCAGAAGGAAAAGACTCGTCCGGCCCATGTATCTGCCTTTGAGGTCGGTCCTGAGGCAAATGTGTCGACTACAGAGCCGGTCATTGAAAAACAGACTTTTGAAGTCTCACCGGCGACTGCCGAGGTTTTCAACGCCCTCTTCAAGAAGTCAGAGTCCCGAGGTGCGGTGAACTGGACAGGTTTTGAAGGCGCTATGGCCGAGATCGGGTTTTCGGTCCTGCCCAAGTACGGCTCGGTTTTCACTTTCATGCCGCCAGATAGTATGGCAGTAAAGAGGCCGTTCACCATCCACCGGCCTCATAAGTCTCAGATTGAAGGGTACATGACGCTGGTGTACTCTCGGCGGCTCGCGAGGGCGTATGGATGGGATGAGAAGACGTTTTCAGTTGCGTGAACAAATTTGCGATGTTCATCGCAAGGAACATGGGAATGTCAAGAGTGCGTAGAACTGGCTGGGTTTGGCTTTTAAAGAATGACTCACTTTCTTGTTTGGCATTACGATGTGAGGCAACTAGTGACGATAATATGATCACTATGGGATGATCCGGGGCACCAGAAAGGATTGGGTGATTGGTACGAGGTCGGATGAAGGTCGAGAAAGCCAAGGGATGTTGACCCTGTGGTTTCCCAGACTCAATGTTCAAAATTGCCAGACTTCGCCTGACATCGTTTTCCCTCTGGCTGCTGCGAGCATGGTGCCTTCGGATTTAAGAATAATCTCAGACCCTGTTTCATTCCGCCTGAGTACCAACTGTGAATAAGGGCCGTACCATGCCTGATCAAAAGGTGTCATCGTGGAAGGACAAGGCAGCATTCGCGCCATTTGAGATAGCCACCCAAACGCAGCAGAGCGATCTAGTATTCACAAGCGCAAGCAATCATTTTCGAATACCGTCACAAGAGTGGTTAATTCTTGCACCAAGGATGCGAAGTCGACTGATCCACGTCAATTGGTCAATTGCCGGCGTTGCATCGTTGTCGATGTTCAACCCACCCACCAATGGTCGGTGACGTCAATTGAGGTCTGGGTAAAGTCGAGTGTCACGTGCAATATTGATCTAAAATTGGTATAGCGCTAGCGGGCCGCTCACGAAATGCGGGTCTTATGGCCTGTGCGACCGAGCCCGCGTGTGGGGTGCAGGTCTAGCGCCGAGCGCCGATATCCCCGAGCGGCCTCCTTCGGAACTCCGATGCGCACAATGTTGTGAAGTTCACACGTTGTCCAAATTGTGGCCAACGAACATGAAACTTAGCCAGCAGATAGAGCTCGGTCAGGGCTTTATAACCGTCCCATTCACAACATGGGATTGTACAATTTTCGCTCTGGCGAGTTTACATGCCACCAGCGAGGTTGGTGTTCCGTTTCTTCCTCATGACACTGGACAAGCCAGAGCACACAATGAAAAGAGGTTCGCGTCGCCTGGAGGCAGTGTAATACCAGGGACACTGTGAGAGGAGCCGTGTGCAAGCACAGAGGGCTTCTCTCGAGGTACAAAAATAGGAATAATCACGATTGGTCTCCTTAGAGACCTTTCAGAGATTAAACTGAAAAGAACAGATACTACACTTGATCTAAGCCAAAAGGCAAAGAGAGCTAAAGAAGAAAGAGAGAAAACAAGCAAAGGATGGCGACAGACGGCGCTTATATAGAAATCTGCTGGGCGGTGTTCCGAGGCGCGGCTGGGGCGAGGCGGCAGAATGTGCGAGGACACGAGTCATTTCGGGCGGGGAGAAACCTTAGACCGCGTGGATACGTGCGGAAATTGGCTGCAGATGTGTCCAATGAGCTTGTTGAACCATAGACGGCCACCTGTTTGTCTGGGTCAACTTTCCGGTGAGTTACGTGAAAACATCCACCACGAACAGACGGTGAGGCTCGACGACGACAACCATTGGCTTACTGCGACTTCTGAGGTCCACTGTCTTTTGGTTTACCTTGTTGACCGGCTGGTCGATTGCGGTCTATGGAGTCTGGGTACCAACCAGACTATGGTTGCTTGTGGCCTGGGGGAAAGTGTGACAAACAGAAGTCGGGATTTCACAATGTTATGCCAACGTGTTCTATGCAATTATGCAGCAGCTTGCTTGTGGATAGCACAAATTATTGTATAACTCAGTTGCCTACAAGTAGTACTTCACCGAACTCACCGTCGCAAGAACACGACAAGGTGGGCGGGGATGGGTGTTTGTCACGAGATATGGATGTGGTTAATGCTGCCCACATTGAGTGGGTCCGCTTTTTGTGACAGTGTTCGAGTGTATTTCCAACGACCGACCTGCCGGATCCAGTAAGTGCTTCCAAGTCGTGAGATCTCCTTGATCCGGTCAATCGGAATCTTCAACTTGGTCAAGTTCTGCTTCACCACCTTGGTGATGTTGACCGATCCCTGCATCGTGGAGATGACCTTGTCGTGCGCAGTAACCGTCCGCTCCGAAAGGTCCCGGTCGTTCATGAAGCGAACAGACGATCGCACAGTTTCCGCTAGCGCGATGCCCTCGGCGTCAGGTTCGGAGAAGGAGTCGACTTCGTATGCACACTCTAGCCCGTTACTCGGTGTCCACCATGCCCATCATCAACCAAAGACTGGACGAATCCTCTAGATGTCTCTCGAAGCTGGGTTTGGCTTCATTCTAGCAATGATATATAGCACGTACCGTCGCGTAATTACCACCGAAACTCTGCGGGACAACTGGCCCGTAACAGCCGTGTTGGCGATCAAGCGGCTGCCTGCCCTCATCTGAGGACCGTCCGTAATCCTCCTTATTAGCTTCCACTCTGTTTACCTGAGTCTCTGGAAAGGACATTGATCTATGAGATGAAGGTGGTTAAAAAGACTAATATCTGTCCGGCTTTGCGTAATCGTTTTGCCGCGCGGGCCCGATCATACGGTCGGTTCCATACTCAACGCCTGCTTCGATGACTTCTTCAAAATAGTAATACACTCTTGGGATCTAAAGTCTTAGAGTCTAACACGTTAGCATATTTAGTCTTTATTGTCGGATTGGAAGTCCAATTCGACCTCGACGTACGGCCGACCGCGCAGGGGCCAATTACGGGCCCTACTTCCGATTATCGCGGCCTGCCTAACCTACGGTTGGAACCTCCCTTTTACACCTACGCAGCAGATTATATAGTTCAATTGACCTACTTCGTCAACCCACGGCTCGAACCAATCAACCAATATCCCTATAATAAGGATACTAACATTTATCTTTCCCCAAGGCCCAGGTATATTATTAAAGGAATATACAGAAAGGGGATAATATCAATAGTGTTAGCAACGACGATAGCAGGAGAGATAGTAATAATAATACTAAGAGAAATAGTAATAACGATAATAAGAGAAATAATAATAAAAATAGTAGTAGAAAAAGTAATAATAATAACTAGAGATATAGTAAGAATAATAATAGGAGAAGTAGCGATATAAATACATAAGGTAATAAATAGTTATTAATTTAATTTATTATATTATATACGTGCTCTAAAATCGTATAGAGCCCTATGAGACTGATTGTGTGAACCGATAGTCCCGATATAACTATAACTCGATATCCTGCTAATTAATAACGAGTTATAGAATAGTCTACTTAAAGATATTATTTGCGTATTGTGTCCTGCGCGAGAACTCGGAATCCTTGTAGTCGTCGGGGTAGAAGAGACCGACCACGTAATCGCTACCGCGGTGCCATCACTCGACAGAAGGGTCCTGGTGGGGGCTATAGAGGACGCGAGTCTTGCTTAGCTCATGCCAAACCGTCCCTGTGACTTCGATCATGTGGCTGACCTCACTGGTCATCAGGTCAAAAGTCAATGCAGGCACACCCTAGAAAGCTGAAGCTTCCCGATCGCATGTCGAGCGGATGTTTCAAATGCGGCCTTGTATAAGTCGAAGGTACCTCGAAAAGAAGGGACTTCTGCCTTCGTATCGAATAACTCAGAGTGCTGTACGTTATCTTCAGTGCTCTTCTGACTTTGACGACTTCCAACTGGCCACCGCACCAACTATCTCTCTTCTACGAACCATCCAAGTTGACGTCCGCCTCACACGCGTAAGTAGTTACCTTCACAAGCCAATAATCGCGGCTTGAGTCTACGGGGGCTCTGAAATACGCTTGAGGGAAGGAGATCTCCAGTCTCCCGGAATTCTGTGTCAATCCCCGACCTTGGTCTTCTTCAGACAGATTCATCCTACAGAGTCCTAGTCAGAGTGGTTGAGAATCGAGTTAGACGTCACTCTCACGATGCCTGTCATGTTCCAACTGTCTTCAATACCACTAATATGATGCCTCTCTCGAGGTTTGTTGGGATTGTCTTGGTCCTTGTGGTTCGGATTATTATTCTCCAGGGGACACAAACTCATCTATATTCACTCGGAAGTCTTTTCAGATGAATTCATTCTGAAAGAGCCCGTGAGGCCTTGACCTTTCGATCTCATATGGACCACCTATTGCTAGCGTTTCTTAACAGGCGCTGTAAGCAGTCTCGACCGTGCCTGCTATTCCAGGTACTCGCAACTTGCATCGAGCCATTCGTCCAAGACATGCAGTGTTGTCGATGTTCAGTCTCCCCTAGTGTCTCGGCAAAGGCTACCTCGGAGTCATGGAGTTCGCGAGAGTGACGCTTGTTGACCTGGCTTGGAATCTGGATCTTGTGTTGCCGTTCAACTACTCTTCCTGAATAGATGTGAAACAACTTTGGCGGTGAAACTAGCCTTTATCCACTTCTCCCACTGCACCTATACCAACTGACGCAGCAAGTATCGCCCGATCCGATTGAGAATCAAGAGACGAGATCACCGGCACCGAAAGCCAATGCCATGAACCCCATGTGGACCGGCCAGTGATGGCCGACAAACACATTGATACTCTTGAGGTTCTTTCCTTTATCTTTTGAAAGGCTTAGACGATGTCTTGCCTGCAGAAATATAAGCCAAAGTCTGCGTTCACCGTAACGTCTGCATCTATTCAGAAACAATCTTTCTAGCAAGCTCGCCCATCTATGCGATAATCGTACAGCTGTCACCGAGTTCGTCTTAACTGGGTTGGCTTGTCTCCGCCCTCAACCTTTGGCTTCCGTTTGGGTACTTGCAGACCATTCAGTCATCTAAAATGATAAGCATCAATGTGGCCTTCTGCAGTTGTGCTATAATCATCCAACATGGCTTGAAGGGATGTCTCTATTCGGCCAATCATCTTTAGGATTTTGGGCCTCTACATTTACGATATTCCAGACCCATCTGCTTGTAACATCACATCGTAGCGTATTGCTGCGTTTCAAGCATGGGCTGTTGGGTCGTAACATCTCTAGGCGATCTGGAGGTTCTTAGTCGTGGTTATTCATAACTAGAGCAACAAGATAAGTAAAAAGGAACCGAAGAACCAGCTGGCCTTTACGGCTTCGTCTCTACTATCCTTATCCTAACTCCCTATATCTCTACTATACCCTCTTTGATATTTATTTTAATAGTATATTCGTCCTCAAAACTACTCAAGATAGGTTAGAATATATAAACACTCGAGACCTTACTATCTGACGCTTTATACTTCTATATTTCATTATACTTTCTTAAATATTACTTATATTATTATCCTCTTTTTCTTTATCGCTAGCCCTTTTATATCTTCCTCCTTTATATATTCCGGAATATATATTACGAAAGTACCGAGAGATATAATAATTAATATCCCGTTATAGTAATTAAAAATTTAAGGAATAAAAGAACTAGAACTAGAGCAAATGAGGAGAGGACGAGAGATCCTGAGAGGAAAGCAGTACTATTCTTTAGAACGGCTCATTCTCTAAACAATCCAACGGGGATCAAACAAAGATTCAATGCTTTGCGCAAGGACAGGTTAAGAGTAAGGCTTGTTCTTTTATAAAAATTCATCAAACTGCCCTTCCCTTGAAAAGGGTATTCCCTTCTCAGCGCCTTACGAGGTGAAGCTAATAGCGGTCTGGGATCCTTTAGCAGTAGCCAGTGTCGTTATTCTGGATTCCTGGATCATCTTCCACAGCATTTTTACACGTTCATTGAGTCGAGAAAACCATTTCGAGGAGACAGCGATGGCACCGGGATGCCCGTTCAAGAACGGCCCCGGCGTCCCGAAAGTGTGCCCAAAATTTATGGGTCTACCGGAGCTTGTACCGGCCGCTGCCACCGGGTGGCTGGAGTTCCTGGACCTTGCCCAATTTGGACGGGATACGTATCTTTTCTCGCCCTGCCATGTGCGCCACGGAAGAGAAAAATCGGGGAAAGAACACCTCAGCTGAGCCCTCAGCCACGGGCAGCTTTGCTGGACGTAGCGGCGCAGCATCCACTAGGAATCCACCAGCCCAACCAATGTGCCAATGTCGTATTACCGCGTTGCATGTCTGTACTCTCTGAGGTGGGAATCCATGGCAGCCGCCGAACCGAACTGACTCTGGGCGACAAGACCAAACTTCGACAAGTTTCCTTCGCCCAAAGCCGTCGTCATCCTGCCAAGAAACGAATGGCAAACTGCGAGCGCACGCCGCGTACGACGTAAACCTATTCATATATCCCACTCAGCGCATAGCTAGTTTCGCGCCAACTATTCCATTGGCCTTGTCCCTCCCTCCGCTCAACAGATTTCCCAAGCATCCCGCCTTGCAGCTACACGCCCACAACCGCGCTTCCCCGACTCATCGCGCCGAGAGACACCACCAAGATTCACCAACATGTCCAGCACGAGGGTTCGTAAGGTCTACAGGACCGACGATGTCGTGAACCTCAAGGACGAAGAAAAGGAGCAACTGCTCGAGGTACGTTGAGCTACTTGCAAATTTCCCAAAGCTCGACCGTTAGCTGACAGCTCTGCCCCTCCAGAGCTACCTCCCAGACGGCCCACCACCAGACGCACGACGACAATGGCGCGACGATGATATTCCTCCCAAAGGCAGGTTCGGTCTGAGACGCGCCCTTCGCTCGAAGCTACACCTTGCGATTTACACAGTTCTCCACGCCATTTTCTCTTTGTATATTCGGATACGACAAGCATGGCATCTCGTGTGCTACCACATATCCTCCATCATGTTCTACCACCACCGAACCCCGGAATATATCGAGCGGGATGTTGTTGGTCTGAAGAAGAAGCCGAAACATCTCAGCGTCATTTTAAAGCGCGAACCAAGTGGGAGACACGGGGCTGAGTTGGAGAGATTGGTCGCCGAAGCGGCCGAGATTGCCGTATGGTGCGTCTGCGCCAAGATTCCCGTCTTGACGGTGTACGAGCGGACAGGTAAGCTGCTGATTCTACGTGTATATCCCATCACACTGCTGACTTTTCCTCCCCCAGGTCTTCTAAAGCACTACCTTCCTCACCTGCAACAATCCATTATCCAGAAGTCGCGATCCTACTTCGGTAGACACCAGCCAGCTTTGACCGTGGCTATGCCGCACGCCGACGACGTCCTCGAGTCCCCAGCCCATGGAGATTTCGCGCGCAACGACCCACGTCACCTCAAGGTTCTCTTCATCTCCGCCGAGGATGGTCGGGCGTCCATGGTTGATCTCACTCGCACCTTGACCGAGATGTCACAAAAGGGCAAGCTCCACCCCCGTGACATCAGCACAGATCTGATCGATGCGGAGCTATCGGAGGGAATCATGCCGGAACCCGATCTGCTCATTTCCTTCGGTCCTTACGTCGACCTCGATGGCTACCCGCCTTGGCCCATTCGCCTCACAGAGATCTTCTGCTTGCCGGATAACCAGGGTGTCGGATATCAAGTCTTTTTAAGAGCGCTGCTCAACTTTTCCAGCGCACAGTTCCGCAAAGGCAAATAGAGAGGTGTTTGGGTTGCGTATACCCCCATGAAAGATGTCATGACGTTCCCTTGAGCTGGTCTTTGGCGGAAGATACCCGCATTTCCCGCATCGTTTTGTCCCACCGATAGACAGGTCCGGTCCCGACGTTGTAGTTGTAGTAATTATCAGTTCCTTCCTTCACCATCGCTCGCCTGAATGTGATGTTGATTCTCCCGCCATCCTCCGCATTCTTGCCCGTTCGCTTGGGTATCGAGTGAAGCCAATTCGACTGAGTGCGTCCGCGCATGAGGATCATGTCACCGCTGGCTAATGGCAACTTGATTTGTTTGGGCTGCGGTCTATCCGGATGCTCATTGTCTGGGGGTATCGGCTTGTGCTTCATGAGGAAATCCCTCCTCGCGCCGAGGGAGAAGGAGGCGATGGCTGGATCCGGACCAAGAAACCTCTCATCGTCGCTGTGGAAGGAGATGCTATCCGTGCCTGAAGCATAATAGTTGACGAGACAGAAGTTGAACTTGCAGTCTGTGGCCGTCTCGGCTGAGCGACGGAGGTCATCTAGACATTTGGGGATTGGCCGCGGTGGGTATCTCTGGTACAGTTTGTCAACGACTTTGAAGCCGGACTTCCTGTCTATGACGGAGCCATCGTCGTCGAATCGGGATGTGTCGTCCAAGCCAAATACTGTGGTGTACCTATCCATGTGAGTTGGTTTCATACCTCCAAACATAAACCTTCTGCTTACCGTGGCGTGCGAATGTGAGTTTGGAAGCCGCCTCTCTTAATATCATACTCCACTCGATAGAATGGCAATTCGGACCGAAGAAACTCAAAGAGATCTTTAGCCATGTACGACGGAATGTAAGGCTCAAAGTACACCAGGTCGAGGTCTGGTTGGTCATTCATGTCTTTGCCTGGACGGGCAGGGAGTGACGAGAGCTCTTTACTGATGCTTGTGGGAAGCTCTGAGATAGGTAGGGGATAATTGGCGTGAGTGGACTGGCCGACCTGATACTCATGAATTTCTGTTAGTGGTGAATTCTACAAATGTATTTGAGCCGCAACGAGACATACGGTTTCGCTTGACTCATCTTCCTTACGCGGCTTCTTCACAGATGGAGCGAAGAAGGAGTCCAGAGTTCGCTTCTTCGACATGATATATGAAGGGCTTCCAGACAATGAGAAGTGTCGTGTAAGTTGAGGGCGAGCTTGGATGAACCGGCGCCCGTTGAGCAGTAGCCACATGCAAATGATGGCTCTAACCAATAAGCAGCAGCCGGGATCCCAGTCTGAAAGACCCTTAACTCTGCAAATGAATCTTAACAAGACACATACTCTACAACTATTACGAAAGCTGATGTGACCAGTCCCTCACATTCCTCTCAGACATGCCTGTCGACCAATCATCAATGACGCTTAGATCACGAAGCTCCAGTGACATCACCCTGTGGCGTCCAGGCCCCACTCCCGCACCCGCCAATCCTCAGCCTCGCCAACACGCCACATCTGGGAACCCTGCCCCTCAGCCCTAGACGGAGGTTTTCCCTCAGCCTTGCCCCTCCATGACTGTGCCCGACTATCGACTCATCAACATGGCGGTAAGTCGAGACCCCTGCACGGCCGACCAGCCTTAGTACTTTGAATATTGTACTAATATCATCGTGAAGAACTCGAATTCCGATATGATTAGCCTCCGCGCGCCTCTTGCCCGCGCGGCTACAATTCTCGACCGTTCCCTCTTTTCTAAAAAGTTGGAACTCGCTGCCGCCACGGTCAAAGACCCCCGCAACATCTCAAAGTACCGCAAACAGCTGGAAAAGGGAAATGAGCTTCTTAGACTTGACCGTCTGGATTCATGCAGAACTGATCCCAAGTCATCAAATTTGAAATGCCTTTTATTGCGACCTGGCGTGAAAGCTGATAGTGTGTACCCTGCTTATGCTTGCTACATTTCTCGAGCCTGTGACTGACCCAGAATTCAGCACCGACGACGTGGGGTCCTGTCTTCCAGGAGGGTATCAAGACTGGAGAGCTGGATGTGGTTCCTTACGAGCTGCAGCTCGACTATGACTACTGGAGCTACCGTGAGTGTGGTTTGTACCAACAGAAAATGTGACTTTGCTAACCCCTGACGAAGTTGATGTGATGACATCCATCTTGCCTGAGGAACTTCACGTAGAGATCCCAGTCGGGTTCAATACGGCTGGACATGTTGGTAAGTCGCCCCAAGTGAAGCCGTGAAACCAGCCACTGACCCTCATAGCGCACCTCAACCTCAAGGAACAGTACCTCCCTTATAAAAAGATCATCGCAGAGGTTATCCTCGACAAGAACCCCAAAATCACCACCGTTATCAACAAGGTGGATGATGTCGGCGGCAACTCTGTGTTCAGAACCTTTGCCTACGAGGTTCTCTGTGGACCCGAGGATATGAACGTCGAAGTCAAGGAGAACGATTGCGTCTTCCAATTCGACTATTCCAAGGTGTACTGGAACAGCAAGCTCGAGCCCGAACACACTAGGCTCATCGGCATGTTCAAACCGGGAGAAGTTGTCGCCGATGTTATGGCGGGTATTGGACCGTTTGCCGTGCCGGCAGGAAGGAAGGGTGTTTTCGTCTTCGCCAATGACATGAACCCCGAAAGCTACAAGTACTTGAACGCAGCTGTCCAGAAGAACAAGGTCCAGCAGTATGTCCGTCCGTACAACATGGACGGCCGCAAATTCATCCAGGAGGCCGTTCACCAAGTCTACGACGCTTCTAAGAAGGGAGAGGGCGCTGTCATCAAGCCCAAGCAATCGAGAAGCAAACCCCAGAACCCCCCCCCTCAGCCGAAGCACATCCCAATCCCTCCTACAATCTCGCACTTCGTCATGAACCTACCAGCTTCGGCTTACACCTTTGTGAACCACTACAAGGGCATCTACAGCGGACACGAGGAGCTCTTCGAACCTCACACGTCTGCGAAGCTACCCATGGTTCACGTCCACTGCTTCGCCCTCAAGAGCGACGACGAGGTACCCCTGAATGACATCCTCGAACGTATATACGCCGAGATCGGCGTCAGGTTCAAGCTTGGAGACGCAGATAAGCAAGGGGAAATGACCATTTACAACGTGCGGGACGTTGCTCCGAAGAAGCGCATGTTTTGCGCGAGCTTCCGTATTCCTCCTGAGGTCGCCTTCGCGAAGGAAAGCTGAGATTCGCCCGCTCGGTTTACAGAATCGCCGTCCCCGCAGGCATAGTTCGATGTCACTGTCACCGAGATGGACATGTCGATGCCGGCTTGGTAACACAACTTCTCAGTGACACCTTAACCCGGGGGACACCTCTTTCATTCACGCCACACGGGAAGCCTCACCATCCTCCACGACCGTGACCGATATCCCATCCACGCCGTCCAGGCCTTTACCAACCCCGCCTCGCTTCGCCCAACTTGCAGCCGGTGTAAGGCTGACAAAGCTCTCAGCAAAGAGCTTCCCCGGCGCCTCTCGTATATCTGGTGTACCTAGATGAAGGACTTACCTGATCGGCCGTCGTGCATGAGAGGGGGTTGGTCAACAGAGATAACGTACGGCCACCTGACGGTGTCGTGACGGGAAACCTTGGCCATCCTTCATTAAATGCGGAGAGTGAGGAGTCTGCGAAGTGAAGAGAAAAGAAAGAACAACAGGAGATGGCGGAGGAGGAGGAGGAGGAGGATGAGGCAGGTCCACCTCGTCTCGACCCTCTGTGTCGCGGCGACTACAGCTTCGATACCGACCAATACCGATCTCCAATCGCACATTCCTATATCTGCTCCTCGATATACATGCAATCATGACTACTTGCATTCATCCCAGTTGTGCACATGCGCGCCCCATCCCCCTTCATCTATGAACCCTGGTGGTAGTGGTGGGTTGTCGTTGTCGTCGAACGCCGGAAACCACCACAACGTCCAGCATGTGATACCGCCAGCGCAATCCCGCCCAGTCCAAGGGTTCGGCGTGGTCGAACCGTCGAAGGGACAGCCCCTACCTCACCTAGACCGAGCCTCCATCTCGCGACGCCGCGCGACGCCGTGCGACCCCATCTTCGAGACAACCCCAGTCCCGCCCAGCCGAAGGTCAAGGTGCAGCATCCCGTTCGTCCCCCGCCCCGTATCGCCCCCCTTCTTCTTCTTCTTCTTCTTCTTCTTCTTCATCAAGTCAGGGCTTGGTACAGCTACATCCACACGAAACGCGTCTTCATCATCTGCCCTTCTTTTCGCCTGGTTTTCAGGCGTCGCAGCGGCTGCACCATGACATGTAGATGATGACGAGGGGGTTTGCTCCGGTGAAGCGGGGGCGGCGCCCAGAGAAGGAGCATGGCAGGGCCTAGAACGCGAAGGGACTCGGCACCTCTGTGGTTGTCCCATCCCGCCGCCACCACCTTCAACCACCTCCTGCAGCCTGTCAAAGCTGTATGTGTATGTGCATGTCTTGTGCGTGTGTGCTTCCTCTTGTCGAATTTGCGACAATCCGGGTATATGTCTCAATGGGCTGTTGGTGGTGTGTTTTGCGCACCGCGAATCCAATATCCCGTCAATCCCTCCAATTCCCGCCAAACATCATGAACAACGTCCTCAGTATACACCACATCCCAGCCTTGAGCATCCACATCATACATCTATCACTATTTACTAAATCCCGTCGCAGCGGCAGCGGACCCGCGCCCTGCCGCGGCGCCGCGCCGCCGCGCCGTTGATGGGCCCAGAGTGCCCCCCCTTACCCCCAGCCAGCCTCTCGGGGAGCAGGCGGAAGGGGAAGGCAGGGAACCATTCCTGGCTCGGGCGATAGGTATTACTCAGAAGCCAAAATGATGTTGCCATTTCCCGAACCAAGATTCCCGTTGAGTTGTGAGAACGTCATCTAGTCCGGGAAAACCCACACTCCCTATCGCGCTCATCATTGAGCGGTTTCTCTCTCCACGGGCCCCCAGTGTTCGAGCTCTCATCCAACCGTATAATTTCTCGTCGCAATGTCTATATCGGTTTGCATAGATACTGTGGGTACTCCCATCGTATGCATGATATGGGGTAGGGTCTTTGGGAGATAGGGAATAGAGAGACGGCGTTCGTCTCTGCGTGTAAACATATGTAAAAAAGACTGGGAAATGGAGCATGGGTACGAGGCATGGCGTGCATGCTGTACGTTGTACGCCCGTAGAACGCATGCCGCGACGTTGCAGTATTCCCTGGGGTCAGCAACGCCAGCGAAGCACATGTGCATGTAGATGTATGGGTGTGGATGTTGTGTGAGGTTCAGCATACTCCCCCTCCAAAGATCCCTTACAGTACAGGTATAGATACCCTTCGTGCCTTCGCCAACTCTTACGCCATACAAGGATACCCAAGACGCATGTATTGGCCCAGATAACCTGGACAAGTGACATTCCGGAACGCCATGAAAGGTTCCAATTGACCAACGTATAGACATGGTTACACAAAGTGAAGAGCTGTGCCTAGAAATGGGAGCTCCGTCTGCGCCAGCTCTCGCAGGAGAGGCACCCTCCCCTCCCCGCTATTTCACCTGCCGTCATGCGAGGCGAGTTTCGGGACTATGGGTGTTGGGCATGATGATGTGCGTAAACGGCTGAATGACACATCTTGAGCTCGGAAAATGAAATTCAACTTCAACTTCGCCCTGGATTGTTAGTTCGACCCAGTTCGGTTGTTATGGAGACAGGGCGTGTGTCTACACAAATTACGAGACTATCTCTGCAGAGCCTCTTGAATCCTGGCATCGATCGATAAAGTCGACAAGTAACAACTCCATGTAGCTAGTTCCTCTATGGGCAGACCCTCCTCTACTATGGAGAGATACGTGGTAAAAATCCCCGAAGAGAATTGCCCTGTCAGATTGACACAGTTGGTTGGTTTTGCTGATCTGACTCTTGCAGCAAGTATTGTAGATCAAGTCTTAGTGTACTGTGTACACCACATCACACTCACAAACCAACGAATTGGGCAATCCGAAATCGAAGCAGATGTTCAGAACCCGATAGCTATCTGTAGGTCACTAAAAATCACCTGATCATCTCGCGCTCAATTTTGTTTTCCCACGGGGAAAAAGGCAAGAACTCCGCTTCTGTCTCCATTCCCCAGTCCCTGGGGCGCGGCAGCGGCTCAATCACGTAAAAGCCAAGAAACCCCCCTCCGTCTGCGTCAACCAAGTGAAGTCCGAGTCTCTTTATTCGTGGTTAGTGGAGAAGTACTGGAAGCGGGCGGGGGGATAGAAGAACCACAACTGAAGTTGGTCTCATCCCCCAAACCAAGCCCAGCGTGTAAGCCAAACGCGCGCCGGCGCAAGGTACAAGAATAAAACCACGCATAGAACGAAACATCAACGCCTCAGCGCCTTGATCGACGATCTACTCTTAGACTAAGACTGAAATCTGATTAACTTGAGCCTAGCATCCGCTGTTTCTCTCCGTTTCTCTCTGTATTCGTATGTGTGTGTACGTGTCTTACATTTCTATAGCTCGTACACCCTCAAACGGGCGTACTCGTGGTGTAATTAGCTTAGCGCCTAAAACCTCGCCAGTCCTAAGAATACACACAACACGTTCACGGCGAACCTCCGTTATGATATCCGTATCGGCCCTCCTTTTCCCTCGGGAACAACAAACCAGCGATGGGGATAAAGGAGCAAAACAACTGATCACTGACTGGTCGACGGCCCCCTCGACGGACCACGAAAATAAAACGGGGGCGGCGGCCCGCCTCTCCAATGCGTGCGTCCCCTTGCGCCCTTTTCCTTCGAAATTCGGCCGCCGTACCACCGTGAAAAACTCCGGCTCTCGTGGGAAAAGCTCCGCAAACGGGGGGCGAAAGAGAAACGAACCCGGAGGCGGAGGCGCCATTTTCACGCGCTTCCACTGGATGCTACTGGGCTAGGTTCCGAACTGCTTGGGTATGCTTAGTGAAATGTTCAAGCCCGGACGAAGCCCGTCGCAGAGGGGAGGAAGAAAAATCTCCTCTCTATCGGCCGGGAATACACCTGAGGCTTGTCCGTACCCTGAGGCTTGAGACAGCCAACCCCTTCCCGTGCTACCCACCACATCACGATGCTATCTAGGTATCCATCCTTCGCCTGGCAGAGATGTGAGCCGTCGAATTCGACAAATACGCCCGCCAGAGCCGCCCTTCGCTTGCGGCAGGCACAGATAAGCGTCGTGATCCGCGACAGAGCCGCCGAGAACGAGGAGCAAGCCGATTCAGCACACGCCTCGTTCGCCTCATGCATCCCACCATCTGGGTGCGCTATCACACTATCTGGCAAATACTTTATCCAGCGAGCCTCATTGAGGCTCGGGTGTGTGTGAGTGTGTGTGGAAACTAACTAACCTACCTGCCAACCCCCATCCCAAAGACGACATGGCCGGCCTGGCTGGCCGGCCGTACTCATTGACTGACTGATCAAAAGTCCTCGCGATAAACGTCCCGTCACTTGTCAGCTCGCTATTCCTGACGCAAATGACATCTTTTCGCTCTCAGTCCTGCTTTCGTTTTGCCCTCTGCTTTTGCACCCTGCTCCAACCTCCGAATCCTCCTTTCATCGCCCCGATCATGAACCAACAGAAAAAAGTGCTACACCTGTCCAAGCTTTATCAAAAACATAATAATCTATCCGTACCCCCTCCCTCCATCTTCCTCTATCCCGCAGTTGCCTAGCTTCTCCCACCTTATCGGAAGTCCTCCGGTGAAAGCTCCGTAACCTGTTGACGTGGGTAGTTCTAGACCACACCCCTCGCATAACCCAAAACGATCCCAACTTTTCATCACGTCTTGCTCGGTCTACTCTCCGTGCCCTGAGAGTAGGTAGGAGGAGGCGGGGGAAAAGTAAACATGACGTCTGGTTTCCCCTCCTCCTTTCCCTCCTCCTCCTCATCCAGACCGGAGACAGAAAGACAGAGCCTCATAGCGGTAGGTAGAGACGGTCCCAAAAGGTTGACAAAACCCAATAAGCCCGTCTTCAACCGCACCCGGCCGCCCTGCTCTGCCCCGCGAGGCACGTCCTCTGTCCCAGCATTGCGAACAACATACCGATACCTTACCTTACCTTACCTTACCTTACCTTACCTACAACACCGGCACCCCTTCCCCGGTTCCCCGGTTTGTAAGCAAAAGCGCACGTACGCCCTTTACCCATCATCTGTTGCAAGATCGTGGGAAAATGGCCCATGCCCTGCTGCAACCCAGGAACAGCACAGATGATCATATACATCATACACACACCCCTTTGACTCTTTTTTCGTCCTTCTCATCGTCTAAAGGAATTGAATTAGGTAAATAGTTGCCCGTAGCTTCCCCCGACCTGTCCGGTCATCCGCGCTGCCGGTTGTACCTGGCTAGCCCTAGTTCAGACTTGTAGAGTCCAGTTGTAGTTCAGCAAGGCCTTTCCCTGGTCGAGTTGAGTCCAATTCCTATACCGGAAACTCTGTGTCCAATACGATACATAGTACTCAACACACTCCGCGTTCCTTGTTGAGAAGCTATTGGCGACGATAATCCCATCTTCCTCCCTTACCCCGGATGCCGGCCACCGCGGAAGCCTGGATTCATTGCCGGTGGCGCGGGGAAGCAACGGCACCTTGGCAGGGGTAACTCCATGATGATGTACTGTCATGCTGCTGCTGACCTGCCTTCAAGACGCCGTGTTCAACATGGAGACAAGTTTGGGCCTGCGATCACGAACGGGGGCTGGGGTATGCGCGTAGGAGTTATCAAGGCTCATATCACATCGGCGTTTGCGTCGAGGTGCGCATAGCTCTTGGACCTAGACCGAGCCGCAAGCCGCGAGGCAAAACCCATCATCTGCCGGCCAAGCCTCCTCATACGGAACTTCTGAGTTGGAATGCGAGCTTGCTCACCCTTTGCGAGGCGTCGCGAACGGCCTGGGTCAGTGAACGCCAAAAAAAAATAAATTCTGCCCACGTCCCTGAATGAAAGCTGTGTAACGTGTATACCTATGCGAAGGTTCCCCGCGGAGAAGAGAGGAAAAGAAGCTCGACGTCAAATGAAGAGAGCTTCCGCAGCTTAGGTCTTGGCTCGAACTTGAACTCGTTCGTTTTTCTTTTCTTTTTTCTTTTACTGGCTCGTCGTATGAAGTAGGTACACGCATTCAATAAGCCCTTGTCGAATTATACGATGAAAGCTTCCCTTTTCCCCGCGTTTTGCAACTCACATAGTTTTGTGTCTTGTCATCTATAGACTTTCTTCTCTTGCGGAAACGTGGCAAAAAAACCGTTTGGTTCTTGCGCCGTACAGAAGTATCAGACATTTCTTTTTGGTATCTGCACGTCTGCAGGTAAAAGTATGTAAGCTCACCCTCAAAGGCTCAACCCCGCGTCGTCGCGCCACCCCAAGTCGGCGACAAACAGGCATCCGGAAGGGAGAACCTCAGGAACCCCTGTCCCTGCTTGACTTTGTGTTATATCACCGACCCCAGAAAGTATCTTATTGGTTCCAATGAGAACAGATCTCAAACACGTAAGATTCCCCCAACGTCTGGGGAAGAATGGGGAAGAGAAGACCGAAAGACGTATTGGGTCGGGATTGCTCGGGCCAGCGTTGGGGCGTGCGACTGAATTTCCGCTTACCACCACCACAGCCCATCGGATAGGGAACGAACGATGAGACGGGTATGCCCGGAGCAAGATTCCTGCGTGCGAATACGGCGCACAGTCCGAGATGCAATACCTGGATAGAGAGGAGACGAGAGGGGGAGTGTGTGTGCAAGTTCCAGATGTTTTGAACCGCCCGGTTCCAGGCTGAGCAAACCTGACGGATGCAAGCTGAAGTAAAGAAACGCGGGGAAGCAGCATCAG